CATATTTTTGTTTGGTTTCAAACTTATTACACCTTCTTGTCTTTTCTAAGCAATATTCATATGATTTTATATTTAAAGATATAAAGAGAAAACGCTATAACAAGCACTTGTGAATTTATAACTTTATTTATAGAAATCAATCTGAAGATAAACTGAGCAGATTCAGATTGGTGGAAAGTCAAGATTTCCTCACTCTATGTAAATGTGAATAGCCATCAAATGGACAACTTATGACCAACAGAAAGTACATTTAAGCATATATCATTTTTCAATAATTATTTCTCATCTCTAGCTTTCACCTAAATTCCCCTCATTGCCACCACCAGAGACCACCAACCGCCTCCACATCAAGGAACTGTATAATACACACTGAATGCCTGAAATGGGTCTTCACTCAGACCATGACTGAGTTATGTAATATAACCTGGATATACTAATCAATTACTATTGTAGTTACATTCATTTGGCAGGTGTTTCTGTGCAAAGCAGATTTGGGTTTTTCCTTCTACATACATCAGGAGTATGTATGTTGGCAGAAAGAGACATCCTGAGTTAGAAACCTTTAAAAACATTTATTTATTCTTCGGAAGATTTACAAAACAATCTTTACAGTCACAGCCCTCTTTGGGGCATTTGTAAAAAAAAAAAAAAAAAACTAAATATATAGACACTAGACTTTCTACTATTTAATTTTAACGCTTTACACTCCAACACATTGAAAACTGGACCTCTAATCTGTTAAACACTGAGTATCTCTACTAGAGCAGATGAGGGTTAAGTGCCTTGCTTAGTGGCACCCCAACGTGATGGTAATGCTGAGATCTATCCTGCTGGAGATCGAACCAGGGACCTTTCAGTCACAAGCCCTTACCACTGACCTCAACAGGTTTTTCTATATTTAAATGTGTGCTGATACGGAGGAAGATCCTTTGTACCATTACATTAATATTATTATAGTACTTGTGGTTGAACATGTCATCTTAGACTTGTTATCACAAAGCGCTGATTTTTTCCAGCTGCAGTTGGTCCAAACTTTCACTCTTCCTGGATTCATCCTGGATGATGAGCTGGAACCCACTCTCCTCCTTTGACAGGTGAAAGTCGCCTGTGTTGGTGGAGACTGCTGCGATGCCGATGTGATGAGCGTCTGAAGAGAGAGAGAATAAAAATAAACACAACATTATGAAATCAGTAGCATCATCAAATACCCACTGCAGCCATGTCTTAGTCTCCATATTATTCACATCATCAGTTAATTTATTGTTAAGTATTTTAATTTTTTGTTCTCCACTGAGGTCCCTCAGATGTTGATGTGTGTAGGCCTAAATGATGGGTATATGTATATATAATGTATATTTTTATTTACCAAAGCCTTTGATATTTGTTGTTATTTTATGTGATCTAAAACAATATGAGACAGATGAAAGTTTATTTTTAATAATACAAAGATCTAAGTGAAAGGCTGATTACGACAATGCAGTTTACAATTCAAACCTGTCAAATAAGGTTAATGATTTATAGACTTTTTGAAAATCGCTTTCAGAGCCATTTTGTTTCTACCCATTTCTCTTCACTTCATGCTGTCAGCAACAGTGTTGGGCTAGTTACTCAAAAAACTAGTTTATTACTCTTTTCAAAAGTAATATTATTAGTAGTAGTATTAGTTATTAATGAAATATGATTAGTAGTAATGAGTTATCTTTGTATTTCTGCATGAAAATCCCTTTCTTTAAAATCATGCCTGTGTTTTAATGAATTGTTTGTATTTTTTTTATTAATGGCCACTTACATGGTTTGTGCTTCCTTAGGTTCTTTATACAGGCATACGATATAAGCACAAGGATGGTGAGAGAAAGTAAAACAAAGCCGATGCCAAGGATCACATGAATGAAGTATGTGCCATTTCTGTGCCTCTCTGGTGAAACATCAAATCATAGTCAAGTTAGTTCAATTCAACCATATTGTCATTGGTACACTATAGCAAAAACATTTAGTTTCCATCCACATAATAGATTATGTAAATAAAATATATGTTTACATATCACCTCCATCACAAACAGAGTTGTGGGTTTTGTTGCCTGGAAACTGCTCAGCAAGTCCAAATAAACTGCACCTGTTGACCAGAAATTGTTTATGTTACAGTAATTTGGCGTTTTTATGAGGAATTATTATTGTAGCTGAAGTCTTGGGGTCTTACTGTGTTCGTGGCTTGCAGACATTTTCTTTCACATCAAAATATGCATCATTAGAGCATGCAGGCTCACAATGATATGAATACACTATCGACCATTTTCCCTGGGAAATGTCTGCAACGATAGATAGATGATAGATGTTTACATTCCCCGGACACAAATTAAAAAGATGCAATGCAGAATTATTTCCTAAGTGTATACGTGTATGTATACAGTTGAATGCGAAAGTTTGTGCACCCGTTGACAAAAAGATAATCTAGAAATCAATCAAAGGAACACAATATTCAACATTTATGCATATTTACATTTTCTATCATAAACTGAACAAAAATAACATTGTGGCATGTGCAAACATGTGGGCACTCTCTTTTACAAGGTTTCAGACCTTCATCAGCACCTTAGGCCTGAGGCAGTTGTGATTAGGAAGTGTCAGCTGGTGCCAGTTTCAAAGCTTTACAAATACTCTGATTCGTCAAACCTTGTGTGAACGCTCACCAACCATAGGTTCCACTAATCAGCTGTGTAAGACTCTTAATTTAAAGTTATTGATGCCCACAATGCAGGAGAAGGCAACAAGATAAGAGCAAAGCATGGTAAGGTTGCAATTTTTCAGTGAAATGTAAGTATGAGATGGCAGTTTAGGGGAACTGTGGAGATCAAGATGAGATCTGGAAGACCAAGAAAACTCTCAGAGAGAACTGCTCATATGCCGGAAGATTTAGCAGACTATCATAGTTTCACTGTCTAGAGCTGCTTGCGTAGAAAGAGTCAATAGAGGGAAACCTTATCTGTGTCCACATCAGACAGAAGTATGAAACATCTGCAGAAGCTTGATGTGTTTTTTTAAATAAACAACGTGGACTGATGAAATTCCCAGTAAGTAAAGGTATGTTTGGACATAAAAAAGAAGAAGCAGCTGCTGATTGGTAAGCATGAGGGTGGATCTATCATGCTTTAGGGTTGTGTTGCAACCAGTGGTACATAAAACATTGCACGTGTGGAGGGAACAATGGATTCCACTAAATACCAGCAGATTTTGGGAGCAAACATCACAACATCTGTAAAAAAAATAAAATTAAAAAAAAGAGCTGAAGCTGAAATGAGCTTGGCTTCTACAACTGGATGATGATCCTAAACATATCTTGACAAACAAAATGCGATGGCCACAATGCCACAATTGTTGTTGCACATGCCACATTTTTAATTTAGTTTAATTTATTATATAAAACATAACAATGCATGAATGATTTTTTTGTGTGTGATTGTTGTGTGATTTG